AATAGCAATTCATGCGAATGAGTTAGCAATTCGTGGGAACGAAATAGCAATTTGTGTGAACGAAATTTCAATTCGTAGGAACGAACTAGTAATTCGTGCGCACAATTAGTAATTCGTGCGAACGAATTAGTAATTCGTGCGAACGAAATAGGAATTCCTGCGAACGAATTAGGAATTCGTGCGAACGAAATAGGAATTCGTGCGAACGAATTAGGAAATTCCAAAAAAAAATTCCACCCTGTCCCTTCCCGGGCTTCATACATTGCTAATATTGGCAGGGCATATGACCAATCCCGATCGGCCATTTTTCTACCTAAAGTATGGCGGCAGCGTGTCTATGTGGGCACATGCGCGTGTGCGCGTAGTATAGCGAGTACACTCTCTAGTTTTGCATGTAGCATTTTCAAAATCTAGTATATGAAAGCCCAATCCATTAGCTTTCTTTTGGTACAAGAATCATTCAAATCACTTATGTGCTTTTCAAGTTACGGAATTTTAAACACAACCGCCATTTTAAGGTTCTGTCCACGGATCACAAAACAGTTCAGTGTTCTTTCAGCAAAACGAAAAGAAATCACATATACGTGTGTGAATTGTTTTCGTTTTGCTGAAAGAATGCACATCCTTTTTGTGATCCATGGACAGAACCTTAAAACGGTGGATGTGTTTAAAATTCTGTGACTTGTAAAGTACATGAGTGATCTGAATGATTCTTGTGCTAAAAGAAAGCTAATGATTCGGGCTTTCATACCCTAGATTTTGAAAGTGCTACACATGCAGAATTTCAATAAAACAATGGTCCCAACATTTGGGTTTCCTTTTATTTTTTCTCACCCTGTACAAATATGCTTGCCCTTCTGGGACTAGTAAAACCTCAGGCAAAGTTATGTTTTTGATAATTTTCTATTTTGTTTGGTGGGAAGTGAGAAGCTGAAACTGTTTTGTAGATGATGTCAGGTGGAAGTGTGAACGTACTTTCATGAGCAGAATTGTGTGGATGGTTGCATGTATCAAGTCAAGTATAGCCTATCTTTTGTCCCTGTTTGTTTTGTTTTGCAAATTTGTATGAAATGGTGTCTTTTATTTAGAACTATTGAAATACACTGTACATATGTAGCAAACAGTATATTTGAGTATATGGAAACTTATTTGTGTTATCACATGCAGCTGTGACAAACGATTGCATAGTGTTTGAATGTCAACTAAAACTGTAGTCATTAGAAAAATAATGATCAGGTTTGAACATTGGAAGGTTAATTATTGCCCATACCCATAGAGTTGTGGTAAAAAGAGTTAAGGGATAAATGATTCAGTGCTGAAAGTTTCGAAAAAGTAAATATCTGTCCAATAAGATATAAAATGACCATATCAGATGTAGGAAAAGAATGGGGAAGCTTATCATATCTTATGCAAGTATTTCAAAACACATAAGGGTAGGTCCGATCGTCATGTAACTTGGTGGGTAGAAAGATACTGAAGTGACGTCAAGATGACGTCAACTGATTTTTTATACATTATAAAAATTTTACATATTTTTCGACCAGCAAAATTTGACATAAAAGGAAGTCAGAGTGACTTGAAACGAGGCACAGACAAAGATCCAAAGGTAAAGTTTGCCCTAGGCAAGCGACATTATGATCAGGCATGCAACTTCCTCGGATCCGCTGATTCCTCGTTTTTTTTTGAAAAATACTGTACAAAGTCTTGTGTGGTTTGGAGTTTCCTTGTTTTTTTTCTAAATTCCCAGTTGCCTGCCTGTATGATGAACGTCATCATGGGTCATGTGACATCAAAAAGGTGCATAAATTAAAATCCTATATCTAGAGAACCATGTCCGATCGGGTTGAAACAAGGTATGTACTTTGAAATGTGTTAAAGGTCAAAATTGGGTTTAGTGACGTCATGATGACATCATCTTGGGTTATGAGATGTCATCTTAATGGTGAATATTGTAAAATTCTATATCTAGAGAAATGCAAGCTGAAACAGCTAATATTTCATGTTACTATGTTCATGAACATAAACTCATCAAAAATCGTGATGCAGAAAAGCCCTATGTTCTGTTCATCCAACAGACATATAGTATATAGTATTTTTTTTTTGGGGGGGGGGGGCGTGTTGGGAAGAATATTTGTCAAGAGTCATTCAACATCTGGATGGGACCTCCTGTCTGATGAGCGAATGTTTCATTCAGTCCATGCCACACTGAACCAGTGACACCAAGTCTCTACATATGCCCAAGACATTTCTGTCATTGAGATCTTTTACGATAATAAACTTTTACGAGCAGTGACACACATTTTCTCTGCCACATTTGCACATTCTTGCGCATTTAGTCACAAGTGATTGAAGTGAGCTACCATACCGTTCTGAATAGTTGATGAGATTCGGCTGTTTTTGTTTATATTCTTACCCCAGCTCGGTGTATTTTTTCTGTATCGTGAAATGTACACAGATATTCCGGGTATGTTTTCTGAGCTCTCTTGTAGACAGTTTTTTATGTGAGGAACCGGAAGTCAATCCTTTTGCTGCAGTTTTTACAGAATTTCATATTTCTCAACTCCCCCCTCAATAAAAAAAATAGGTCACCGTTTTGGCATTACCGGGGTAATATTGTAACTATATGCTTAAATATATGTTTTTTGCAGATAGGCAATTCCGTGACAATGTGGACATGGTTGAAAATGAAAAAGTTATGAAGTGTTCAAAGCTACAAGCATCACAGCCTCAAAATGTGGTATCAAATTAAAGGGAACAGCAAGACCTTTCATTTGAGTGATGTGGCAGCGAGACGGAATATAGATACCCCTAGCACTGCTTCAGGCCATTTGGCCTAAGTCAATCATACTCCATCAATATTTAGTAATGCCAGGCCTCCAGGACCCAGTCTCCAATATCCACCAAAATGGAGGGATGAATTTTGATGGAGTTTGGGTGGTTAGAGTTAATTTCAGGGATCTTGTGAGAGAAAAAGCCACCCTCAATGATTTGACTATGACAGAACAGAATGACAGCACCGAGTCGACAGAAGACTCCCTTCAAATATAATGAGAGTTACCTTGGAATTGCCCACCATGTTATTGCAAAATTTCATCGATTAAAGGGAAAATACAACATTTGCAAACATCAAAAAATAAAACTACCAAATCATTTTGAAATACCTTGCTGGACTGTTAGTGAATGACAGTGTAAAGCATCCTGTAAAATCATGGCACCTGGTATACTGTCATTTTCAAGAAAAGTGGTATTTTTGTATCAATTTCCAACGCTGATCGGCCGATCAGCGTTGGCAAAAAACTGGCTTTTTTTTCAAATACTGGCCCCAATAGACCATCGCACTTGTCTGCAATCGATTACAAACCTATGAACGGGTACGAGCCAGCTAGACTGGTTCCCTGACCTTACAATTCCCCAATGTATGTAAACTGCTCTGTTTCTTCTTATATGGAGTCAGGGAACCAGACTACAGGAAAATGATTGTTTTTCTTGGTTTTTATAGCATTTTCGAACCCAAAACCTCAAAAAAGTCAGTGTAACTATATTTGCTATATATTTCCAACCCCCCAACATGGGCGTCGCGAGGGGGGGGGGCAAGGGGGGGCACTTGCCCCCCTCCCTGGAAAAGCAAAAAAAAAAAAAAAAAAAAGGAAAAAAAAAAGTGAAAAAAAAGGAAAGAAAAAGAGGCGCGAAGACAAAGTGGTGTAAATTTAATGAGTTGGGGGGGGGGCAAAATGTCCCTGCCCCCCTCTAAAACTGATAAATCGAGAATGTGTTGAGAAATACAAGCATTTTTTAGCAAAAAAAAATTTGCCCCCCTCTAGAAAAAATCCTGGCGACGCCCATGCCCCCCAATTCCATCCATTTCTGAAAATTACAGCAAAAGCAAATGATGTATATTCCCTTTAATGAAGAACAGCTCATTTAATGTATTTTACAACAATTGTCTGTTGGGTATAGAAACAGAAATAAAATTGTGATCAGGTAATTATTTAACAAACTTTGTTATTCGACAGAGTTTGATACGTAAGTATACAGATATGCAAATCTGTAGTTTTGCATCTATTGTTAAGAAAAAAACCCTGTTAATGCGTTTCGTTTTAATAAAGTACAGATCTAGATCATCATGCTGCGTAGGCAGTTAAATAAAACAAAACAGCTGAACTATTGTTCTTTTGTTTTCACATCATCAGTGACTTCCCATAGGCCACACGCAATGGATGTTTATTGCCGGCCAGTTATAAATCACTTTCTATTTCAGATCAGACACAGCTTTCAAATTAATTCAGAAATTACTTCCTTGTCCATTTCCAAATTTACGAACACAAGGAAATTTGGTCACGTTGGCTCATCACATGATTTTCCCAACCTTGAAAGAGTTATATATATTTGCTGGGGAAAAAAACAATGTTGTGTTTCCCATTGTTTGTGATGCCTGTTTAAACTATCTTTGTTCTTGTGTGGACATGTTTTAACTTGTGTCAAATCTGAGTGATGCAACCATCGTTGATGTAAACATTGCAAGGCCGGTGTTGGTGCACGGAACTTCATTGCTTGGTGCGAAAGGAAATTTTGCCACTCTGTTTTGGATTTTTGATTGTGCAATTGCTGTTTTACCTTAATCACTTCGCAGTTTTTATTTGAACCATCCAGAGTCTGTCAACATCTCAAATTTGTACTTATTCCAGCTGCAATTTCTTCATTAAAAATTGTGGTCGAAGGACTCAAGACTCATGAAATTGATCTTTACATTAGGGGTAGTTCTTGTAAGTGTCTAGCAAATTATTTGAATTATAAAGGCATGAGCCGGTATAAATTATGTGATGTATTTTTTAGAATGCCCATTAAAGTTGCAGCACTTCCACGTACTAGCTGTTTGTGTAGATGGAATGTATTTTAGGTCATCGAGCCAGGAAGTGTTAACCTCATCCCACTTGCATCTTTAAGGCATCTTGAGTGTTTGCCCTTGATTGACGATGATGTTGTCTGATATTCACTCCCAGCTGCAGAGTCTGGCGGGGCCGCCATCCAAACGTCTCGAGGAGACTGTATCTGTGTATGAGGTAGCCGGCGATCACGCTGCAGAGTCGTCGTAGAGGAATTCCACTCCACATTGCTGCACTTGAGAGACCCCCGTCCCAAGAAGCAGAGAAGAAAATACACAGAGATGCTGATGGGACCATGATGATGATGATGATGGTAAGGGACTATTTTTAGCCAATGATTGGATGAGGAAAGAGGATACTGATGAGTAGGCCCGCGTAATATTTGAAGCAATTTGTAAATGCTTTGAATGACTTGGGGAATTTGAATGTCAAGAACCTTATTACAAACTGAATAGTTCGCAAAAGTCTTTGTAAGAGTTCCATCTTGACATCATTGAAGACTACTTCAACCGGATGTTGCAAGGACTTTTCAGGAGTATTGAAGTAAGCTTGCGCGGGCCAGGTAATGTACAGCTCAAACTTTTTAACTCTCATTGTTCAGAATTATCCCGGAGGCTTTTCAGAAAGCACTTGTTTTAGAAATGATGCTGTAGATAATGTTGATAATGCTTTTGGTAATTTTTGGCAAATTAACTTGTTACACTAGAGGTCCAGGATTGGCAGCAGTCTTTTACAAAAACATGGAACTTTTACACATTTTACTGGTACTTTGGGAGTGTCTGTGGGGATCTGTCATCTTTCCAACAGGGTTGTGAAATCTCAGCTTTAAAGCTGATTTAAGCGTTTTTTGTGTTGGATTTCAGATTTTTTCAGCTTTTCCCCTCACTTGCTGTGTACAAAAGTATAGGAGATTTCCAAAGTTCAGCTTTTTCACACCTTTTCAGCTGTTTTCAGCTATCTTTATCAGTGGTCACTCACACCCCTGTTCCATTGAGCTGGCCACCTCAGGGCCTTGAACATTCTGTTAGGCCACCATGGACCTCAGGATCGAGTCAAGATCCATGTTCTTGAACTTCAAGGGGTTGTCTCAGATGAGCAATATTACGGTGACATTCTTCATATTCTGATTGTTGGGCAATTCCATGAGAATGTAGACATGACTGAAAAATGGACAATTTATGAAATCTTCAAACACTGCAGGCATCACAGCCTCAAATGTGGTGTCAAGTTATAGGGGACAACCAGACCTTTCATTGCAGTGATGTGGCGGTTAGATGGAGTATGTTTATGTGTAGTTTTTGTCAAGAAAAGTTTTTTGGGGGGCTAAAATTATGGATTTCAGGTTGTCAGTTTGGCACCTTGAAAATGCAAGTGCTACCCCCTGGTATTGTGAGTTTTTGTTTTTAAGACACAGAGAAAGATTGATCTTTTATGTAAAAAGAGTTTTTTGTTTGATGTTTAGTTTCTTGTATGTTTTAACTTGTAACAAAGATAGGCGGACAAACTGTAATGTTCGATACCGTAACGTGAGTTACTGAAATATATCCCTTTAGAGATTATGTGACTATTATTTTCTAATAATTGTTGTGGTAGCATATGACTTGCACCCTAATGATGTAGTATGAGTAAACTTTCAAATGCAGGGTATTTAAATTTTTGGCATACGACCATTCCTTGTAACAGGAGTTGCCAAACAAACAAAAGTTTATTTTGTTGGCTTTTTTGTACTTAAGTCTCTTAATTTCAAGGGATCTTCTGTGAGAAAAATCCACCCTCAATGCTTTGACTTTATAGAATAACAGCACAGAGACTAGTTGACATGCACAACTAGAAGACACCCTCCAAATGTAACGTTTTTACTGTGAGTAACCATGAGTATGTAAACACCGGCAATCGTGGACCTAGGACAAAAGGGTTAGGGCATAAACAATACTTCCACGATTGACCGATAGTCCATGATTGAAATTCGTGTACAAAAGTTGAAGTACAAAGAAAGGATTGAGGATTAGGGGCAATAGGGGGTCCACGATTGCCGGTGTTTACGAAGATGGGTGAGTTACCGTGAGTTACTGTGGAATTCCCCTGTTATCTGTTTCTGATGTGATGCAACCCACAACAATTATCATGTTCCTAGACTGTTATGGCCCAAAAATTATTCAGGATCGTGCCGATGATGGCTGTATTAAATGGAGTATTTTTCCATTATATTCAGGAAATGCCAATCTTTATTCAATATTTAGCACAAACATGCTTCATGTGAGAGGCAGAAACTCAAGGCACTGAAGAATTGTTCGCTGTTGACAATAATTGTGAGTGCATAGGTTTGCATGCTCAGAGCCATAGACAATGCAAAGTTTATAACTGAATTGATTTTTTTATTTCATCTTGCAATTCTTTCTTTTTTCCCCAGCCATTTTTCATCTCACATCCCACTTGCATTAATATAGTAACGGCCATTCAATAATTATGACTCAATAATATATATGCCTCTGCCGGTCGTTCCAAAAGATCAACGTCTTTTTCCAATAGTCTTGTGTCAATAGCTTCTCGCCATCTCAGTCATTATACCTGCTTAATTGGCTTTATCGTAGTCCTTCTCTTTTATTTAATTCGGGAATATTTGTTGATCTTGTCACGAAGAGGATTAGGTGTCAACAGATGGTGTCTGTCCCCAGTGCTAATGTTTGTCATCATTGTTTATATTCTCTCATAGGCCAGCCTTCTGCTTTTTTCATCCAAATGATTGCGGTTGGTTGAATTTTTTTGACGGTTTTGTTTCTTGCATCGAGTAAGCTTTTTGTTGGGGGTCTTGAGGCTGGCATTCCGCCTTGACGTCACATCGTCAGGTTTCATGTAGGTACTAGGATTGAAATTGTTGCATGCGTTTGTTTACATACCACACTCTAGCTGCTCCACATTATACAATGTAAATTATAATTAAGCTTTGCTGCATAAATAATTTTCAGTTTGCCTGATGCATATTTATGACCAGCAAAATCTGAAAATTGTATTGAAATTTAGTAATGATTTTGCCCGTCAGTGCCAAATTATCAGCACTTTAATTTCTGTGGGCGCTGTGGGAAAATACTCATCAATATTCCGCTCTGCAAAATGTCATCATCTGTCATGTTTGAAAAAACCTTCATCTTTCTTTGCCAGATTTGAAGCTTTAAGAAAGAAAATAAAATGTAGGCCTAAATGAAACCCAAAACCCAAAACAACCCCCACCCCCGAAAAGATAGACAGTTCATTTATTGTAAAGAAGTGATTTGATGAATAGGGTTTAATTATTATCTTGCAACTGATTGGACTTTCCTATACTAATTTGGGAAAAAAACTCGGTATATTTCCTCAGTTTATTTCTAAAAATGTGACATATGCCATTTTGTTCCCCGTTAAAATCCTGCCTTTTCCTAGCTTCCATACAGCAATGGCTGTTATATTTTTAAACACAACTTAAAGGGAATGTACATCATTGGCTTTTGCTGTAATTTTTAGAAATGAACTATTTAAGGGGTTAGTATAATAGATCAAATATTGTTACACTAACTTGTTTGAAATTTTGTGTTCGAAAATGCTGGAAAAACCAAGAAAAACAAAAATGTTTAAGCAGTCTGGTTCCCTGACTGCACTCAAGATGTAATAGATCAATATTTATAGTTGGCGGAAAATTGTAAGGTAAGGGAACCAGTCTGGCCTACCTGCACCCGTTCATAAACATCTAACCAATGGCAAACAAAATTTGGACTGAAAAAATGGTAAATTTGGATCAGTAGTTCAAAAATAGTCAGGTTTTTCCAACGGTGGTCGGCCGACCACCGTTGGAAATGTATACGAAAATACTATTTTCTTGAAAATGACTTCACACCAGGTGCCATAATTTTACAGGATGCTTTCGACTGTCATTTATCAACATCCTAGTAAAGTTTTTCGTAAAAACTTGGTAGTTTTATTTTTCGATGTTTGCAAATGTTGTATATTCCCTTTAAGTACAAACACGGGCACGATAAATTCTTATTTGAAACGCCAAAAGTTGATTGACCAGTTTAATGCGTTAATTTCCCTTAAAAGAACACTGATGGTCGTGACCAAATGTGTGCAGTGCCGGGTGGAATTCTGACTATGCAAGTGGCCCAGCCTCTGCTATTTGCGTATCCCTCTAGAGACAATATCCAGCTGATCTTGCACGATCTTCTTAAAGTTTCCTCCCTTTCAGACACCTTGGAGAAAATTATTTCTTAAAGCTACAGTCCATCATTTGTAATTTGTGCATTTTGTTCGTTTGAAGCAACAAAAGAGTTCAAAATCTATTGAAGGATACTGAGCAACTAACCTGATGAAGCTTCAGCTAAGCTTCAGCTGTACATTCTGAGAAAAACAGCATTCTAAGACCTCAATTTCAAATCAAAAGTTACTAAATCATGTTTTGAATTGTTTTGAATTGCAGCTATACGCGACGTCGCGCACTGATCCGACGAATTATAACAACCGTGCGCGCGTGTGCGTTGTTCCAATACTTGTGCGCGCTGCGCTGAATAACAAAACGAACTACTAATTTAAATTTTCCTACGGTGCTTCTTAAGAATCACCGTTGGAAATGCCTTCTTTCGTTGATTACTTCAAAATGACAGCTTCCCAGAAAGAATAATTTCACAGGGAGTTTAGTTCCCTTACTATCTTTCAAACAAGTATGTTTTTCAACAATAATTACGCCAGTTACTTTTCGGATGGCTGCAAATGATGGACTATAGCTTTAAGGATGGACTGCCATGTATAATTTTTCATGTGGCTCAAATCTTGCCAAACCTCAGTATTGATTGCGATTCACTGGTGTTCTAATTGTAAACTACAGGTAGCTTTACTCTGTCCAGAAATGACGTAAAACAAATTGGCACCTTCAGACTGCAAAGACACGCGTACATGTCCTTTGGTTTGCTTCCACGTTTTGATGCGTCATCTTTTTTTTAATGAGTGGCATCAGGCAACTGGCGGCATTCCTGTGTTTACAGAGGTCGGTGGGGGGATACGAATGTCTGCATCTTGTCTGTGTCATCCCTCTTCTCCAGCTGTGCCAGCCACTTTGGCATCGGTAGCCCCCTCCCCCCCCCCCCCCCCCAGACATCTCGAGTTCATTTAATGATATCATGTGTTTACGTTGATAAAGTTGATAAAAGGAAAGAGTTGTCAGAGGCGTTCCACTCACGTTTCACGCTGGCTCTGAAAAGTGACGTGGAAGACATGGCATTTAAATTTGGATCGCTTAATTTGTTAAGCTACGAGGGTTTGAATTTCACTAAAGAGAACAGTAGAAACGGGAAAACCATCTAAGAATGGATTCTAAGCTGTGACCTCAGGAACGTTTATTCATAAGATCAATTTTGTTCAGGTGCTCAACCAATGGACCGATCCAGTAAGCACCGCCCCATGGTATTCTGACCAATCACAGCCGTGATTTATGTCCGACATGCGTGCATAAAAGTCTGACATGCGTGCACGCGCGAATGATGCGCGCGGCAGGAAAATGCAGTGTGGCATTGGAGAGGAGCACGTGTTAATTTGCCCACGTGCGCAGTGGGACGGGCTTACTGGATCGGTCCATTGTCAGAACCTGTGTTCCTATTATTCTTAAGTGTCTTGTCTATGGCAGATACGGTACATGTACTCTGAAGCGTTTAAGCTACAAAGGTTGGGATTCCATTAAGGAGAAGGATTTAACAAAGAAAGTAGTAACATGTAACCTAAGGAATACGGTGCAGTTGCTGTACCTAGCTACTATCAGACTCTTTGTCCTATGGCTTGAGCATGGGCGTCGCGAGGGGGGGGCAAGGGGGGGCACTTGCCCCCCCCCCCTGGAAAAGCAACAAAAAAAAAAAAAAAAAAGGAAGAAAAAGAAAAGAAAAAAAGAAAAAAAGAAAAAGAGGCGCGAAGACAAAGTGGTGTAAATTTTATGAGTTGGGAGGGGGGTAAAATGTCCCTGCCCCCCTCTAAAACTGATAAATCGAGAATGTGTTGAGAAATACAAGCATTTTTTGGCAAAATTTTTTTTTGCCCCCCTCTAGAAAAAATTCTGGCGACGCCCATGGGCTTGAGCCTAAGTGCTAGCGACATTTGAGAAACAAAAGTTTGGGATCACCATACCTAGAGAGACAACTATAAGCTTATAGACCACACTGGGAAACTGCAAGACTAAAAATATAATGAACTTGCAGTTTTGTTACACTTAATTGTTTATACGGTTTTGAATATACAAATGTAAGTTGAATTACCTTTGTATGTGCGTGATAGTGTTGTACATTTGCAATTTAATAATCATAAAATGGTAACACATACATAACTGTAGAATGATATGGGATATTTTATGCATGATTGGGTTGTTATTTTTTCTTCATGAATAATGTTTCCTCACCACAAAAAGGGAAAGCTAAAGTGACAAATTACCATACACATATGTAGCTATGACTTATACTTCCTCAGTAATGAACAAAACTGAAAGAAAAAAAACAAATTCCCTTTGGCTTTAGTTTTGAGTGTACATAGTAAACCTCATAGGTCAGATTCTTGCATTTCAACTGCTTTTTCCTGGTAATGATCAAGGAAATATACAAACATTGAAAGCTGCATGTTACAGAAGTTTGCTGTGAGCATAACAAGAAGTTTATATTTGTATAGGTCACTTTTTCTGTTTTGGTTTCAGAGATTTGCTGAGGTACTCTGACGGGATCGATCGACTGAGAGTCAAGATGAATGCCCCGTTTGCCAACTTCCAAGAAGAAGACCGCTTTCAAACTGTCTCCTCCAGGGCTTACAGAGCACCAGGCTCAATAATGGCGGCCAACCAGACAAAGCTTACTGCTCCTCAGAAGATGTTTGCCCAGCCAGCCACACCGGAATCCCGTCAGTCAAAAAGTGTGCTAGCTAGACAAGAAAACCTGGAGAAAAACTCTGAATATGGTGGGGAGATGCAAAACTCTTCAACCACTGATGACACAACTTATCGAGAATGCAGTATCGAGAATGCAGGGAATTCAGGGAATTCTCAAGGATCCAAAACTAAGAGACCTCTTGAGAGACTGTCGGGTATCCAAAGCTTTCAGGAGGCTGTTGAAGGGGAGACAATGGCCAGATGCATCGCTGAGATGTCCCGTAACGTCGGCACTGGCACAGGACCTGCCAGCAGGAGTGGCCATTATGCCTACAACCTGCGGCGGGCCTCTGTGGGCAACCCGCGGGACACCCCACGAGACACCATCAAGTTTGTGGTAGGACCATCAGGCCGAGCTGAGATGCCGAGAGCTCCCCATTATACCCCTAAGAATCTCCCTCACAGTCCCCAGAGTCTGCAGAATCCACCTGTGAGGGGGCACATGGAGTTACGCAGGCAGATGAGTGCACCGGTTTTCGGAAAGAGTGCTCCGCCTCCTAAACCACCCAGAAGGCTGACCTCAACTGATGCTCCGGGCTCCGGGAGCACCTCACCCAACGGAGACAATGCTAGTTGTAGACCCAGACCAAAATTGCATGAATTTAGGAGGCTTGATTCAGCCCCTTGTGGGATGCCAGCAGTAGAAGTCGAAGGAAAGAATGCACATGGAGAATCGATGAACTTAAATCAACCACCTGGGAACAAATACCCTGGTAATAACAAAGAATACCATGATGAGGCAGTAGTAAGTCCTTGGTCAACCAGAGCTGTTTCTGCCCGTATCTCAACTAGACCAAGTAAGAGCGAAGGAACATCCCAAAGAGTTCGAACGCTCTCCAGTTCCAGTAACTCATCAAACTCCAGTTCCAGTCCTGATGCCGTGACACCCTCTAGGCCGATGACTTACAAGACCACTGCGTATTACCGCCAGGCCTCTGAGCCTGCTTTCAAGCCACAGAGCCAAACCAGCATCCACCTCCCAGTAGTAGCCAACAGTCGTGAACTGTTGGCCGAAGAGCGATTCAGCTATATCGAGAGATCCCATTGTACAAAATTGAAGATGCCCAAATCCAAGAGTTTTGAGTTTTCATCACTACCGCAACACAAGGGCGCGAGAGCCGAAAGTCCCAGCCACAATTCCAGCAGCAATAAAAATCAAGTGACATCAAAGATCCCTGTTCCAAAAGCGCTTCCTCTTTCCTCTCATAGCAATGAATCCAGGGCACCTGTGAAGCCAATTAGATTTACCAATGCGGCTTTCATGTTTTCAGTGGAAGGGACGCAGTCTGCACCGACTACTCCTTTTGATGCGCCGTCAAAAAAGGAGAGTCCTTTTCCCTCCAAAATACCAGTTTCTTCATCACTTGGAAGTCTTGCTTCTGAATGTACCCCAAGAGGATCTACCAGTTCAGTGAAATCAGCTTCAGCCTCCAACAGAAAATACTTGGACTCCGAAGAATCCGGTGCCCACGACCATACTGGTGGAGAGTATCAGGTAATGCACAATTGGGACTTTGGGGCATCTAAGCCCACCTCTGGTTCCAAAGAGAATCTCATTTCATTTAAACAAGAGGCAAATACGCACTCCTCGTCTTCTAAAAAAGCTGGTGTGAAGAGGTACGTCCCATCCTCGCGCACCAGCAACCAGAAGCGGGGAGGCAACCAGTATACCTCCCTAAAGTCTAGCCGGGTTTCAAAATCACTCAGCCTTGAAAACGTCAACGATGCCTTGCAGGACGAAGACCGCAGCAGTGGCGAAGAAGAAGAGGACACCGACAAGGGGACCCTGAAGGCTGACGGCACCTACAACGGCAGCTGTAAGAGAGATAGTGGCTCAGGATTTGCTCGTTACCTCTCCCAAATGTCCCAGTACACTGGCAAGACCGGACCGACCGAAACACTAGCCCCCAAACAGGCAGCATCCCTTCCCAATCGTTACAAACGCACCAAATCCTGGGAGGCGGGAGGTGAACCCTTACTTGGTGATTCCCCAGTTCAGCCCAAGCAGGCAGGCATCGGCAGCAAGCTGTGGGGCTTCACTAAGAAGAGTCCCCTCGTCACGCGAAAATTCAAACCCAATAAGATCCGTAGCATGTCGGACTCCTCTCCGAAGCGGGAACCTGCGTCGGAACTACGTGCCCGGTACGGCTACAGCAGCACCCAGAAATCCCAGTATTCTGGGAACCCCACCAAGAGCCCTGTTAAGCCACCCACTAAGGGTGCCCTACACGGACTGAGACGCATGCTATCCAGGGAGTCACTGAATGCAGACAAAGCTGCCACTAAGAAGAAGAATGGGAACAACTCCAAGGGTGGGGATTACTACGGTGTCTGTAAGGCTTGCGGACTGAGCGTGTATGTTGGGGAGGAGGTTAGTCTTCCGGATAGTGTCTACCATACTGCTTGCTTCAAGTGCTCGAGGTAAGTGCTGTTTCACTATCTTATACTTATTCTGCTAATATTCTTATTCATTTAGGTGGATAGTTTTATATAACACCTGAATAAATCCCCGTCATCTGATTGGTGGGCCGTTGATCACGTGTCATCCAATCATTCGTACCAATGCACGGTGCAGGCCGCATGGAAGTTCCATTGCACGGTCACACTTTTGGCAGCTTTGACCAATCAGATGACAACGATTCACTCAGGTGTTGTAAAAAACAAATGATGAATGTTTCACGTTCGTGCAATATATGGGAGGAATAATTTCATTCGGTGACAAATTGAGTGTTCCATTCCACGAGGCGAATACCATTGCAGTCACAAACATTCAGTATATGTATTATAGTAGTAATTTCAAAGACGCTATATAGTCTTTCTGTCTTCAGACTTTTATGTAGGGGTTACGTACTCATCATGCTCACTGTCACATACCTACCGTGTGTACGCAACATTCACAAAACCACACAATGCTCATGATGACCCGTCTTATATTTTTGTCTATAAATTCAGTTTAAAAACCTTGCAAAGAAAAAAGAAAATAGACCATTATCATATTGCGGCCTTTTTTTCCCATTCAAATCAACGTAACCAAAGCGAGGCTGGAAGGAAAAAATAGTCTGGTTCCTTTTTGCACGCAAAAAAATTATCATTCAGTACTGTTGGATACAGGGAACATGACTGAAATGGTGGCAGCATGATAAAGGTCTATTATCATCCTGCTACATTTCTAATCATGGCAGGATAAGTGAGGCATTTACTGTACTTTACTGTCTTTTAAAACCCCTGTTGTGTCCTGGCATTGTGCGGCGCGTGGCTGTGTGCCGCCTGATGTGCAGCCTGTTGAATCTCAAATTTCGCATGAACCTGTCGCTATTGTCACATCAGAAATTATTGTATCAAATGAAAATTATACGTGTCAATCCATCAGATGACTGCTGAGAAATAGTGAGTCAACTCATCCTCGTTACAAAATTATCGGACTGTGCCTCGAAGGTTGTAATTAACAGTTCTGAAGGGTTGAAAAATACTGGTATGATACGTAACATTAAAAATAAAACATTCAAAAATATCTATTCTAGAATCATACATCTTTAGGTAAAAATTAGAAAAATTTGAAAATCACATATAATTTTCAAGCCATGGATTTTGCGGAACCATGGTCGTCAGACATCAGAGATAAGATGGCCAATGTGAAGCACTCATGAAAATCTCCAAAGTCTTGAGTGATCAATTTACAAACTCAAGCGAAAAATTCTGTGGACAGCTACTCCATGTTGAATAAAGAACTTTACTTTATTTGCCTATTAGAGAAAGAAACTTGAGTTGGCATCGTCATATTTTTTTCATAGCTTGTGATCATGTGCATAGATTTTTTTTACAAGAACCCTCATATCTTGACCATTTTGTCAGGATGGGTCAAAACAATATGTAGAGATATCTCTTAAGACTTTTAAGAACCAGACAGGTTGTTATTCATTTGGTTCATTTAAAGGCAGAGTGGACCATTATAATTTATGCATTTTTATTTTCTATTTGAAGCAACGAAAAGTTTAAAATCTTAAGAAGGGTGCTCAACAATTAATCGTGAAGTTTTAGCACTGTGCATGCTGATATCCTAAGAAACAATGATTCTATGATTACCATTTCGATTCAAAAGTTGCCGAGTCATATTTTGAATTGCGCCCGAAATCAGCATCCGGGGTATGTTCTCATTCAGCTGATTGCAGCCACGTAATGTCTTGTACTGAAAAATCCGACGAATAACAGCAACCGCGCACGTGCATGTGCATCGATGTCAACGCTTGCGCGCTCCCATTCACAGATTTGCCCCATTACAAAACAACTACTAACGGAAATTTACAAAAATGTGTCACTTGACACATTTTTGGAAACGGCCTTCTTTTATTGTTTTTGTCAAAATAACAGCATGCCAGAAGGAATAATGTCACAGAGAGAGTTTAGTGCCATTTCTTATCTTTAAACCAAGTAAGCTTTTCAACAATAATTAGATCAGTTACTTTTTGGATAGCTGCAAATTAATGGTCCACTCTACGGTACCTTTACAATTGGTGCTTGTAATAATGTTACACTTATTTTAATAATTGATATTTCCGACAAAAGTGAATTATATAGGCACAGAAAAAGCTGTTGTTACAAACTAGCTAGCCGGTAGTCACAGTCTTAGCAATATTTTTTCTGCCCAACAGAGGGCAGCATTCAGTAACCACTGTCTGCTGAAGCAGCTATCACTATGCGTGTACAGCAGGTATACATACTCGGTGGAGTTGTCGTAGGATATGATCATGACTCCCTGTTTTGTTCTGACTTGATGAAAGGCAGTACTTTAAAAATCTGTCATGATGATGGATAGGTTTATTATCATAATTTTGATGTATAAACTTTGAAAATTTTGTCCTTGACTTTCAGTAGGCCTAAGGTTTGAGTGAAGACTAATACTTATACCTCTCAATAATGCGCCTATCAAATGTTTCCCCACCCCTCCCACCCCGCGCTGCCCCAGGTCCGATGTCGGGATTTGGTCACGTTTTTTATGCCCCAGGGTGGGGATTTTGGTCACTCAAATTGCATTGTTAACGTTGGCGTACTTATGGAAAGGCAATCACTAGCGTGCCCCATGTATGTAAGTTGGGGCATGGTCAGGAATTGTCACTTAAATTTTGCCCGAGGGGTGGGGATTTTGTCACTTCAAAAGTGACAATCCCCACGTCTTGGGTGGGGCAGCCCGGGAGGGGAGGGATGGGGGAAACAATTGATAGGCGCATAACACTCAGGGTTGACTAAAACAAAACAAAACAACACCCAAATCAAAAACAAAAATTTATAACAACAAAACATAAACTAATATGAACAAGTGAGTTACTTTGACATTTCATTTCATTTTTTCTTTAAAAATTGTACAGTGTTGTTTTTTTACACGAACCTTTGGTTACCAAAAAATGTGTTCCATTAACCTCAGACCAACATGATACACAAATAATTAGTGAAACTTTACATTATCCTACCAGTGATGTAAAGTGTAATTAGATTTTTTTTTTATTTGGGGAGTCAGGTTGGCATAGCTTTCCTCGCCTTCCACCACTGTGACCCGGGTTCGAATCCCGCCTGGGCCAACATGTGGGTTGGTTTTCAGTCCCCACCTGATTCCGTGGGTTTCCCCCCAGAATTTTCTGCTGGGGTTTTCCTCCCAGCTCTAAAACTGTAATTTCTTCCCATCGCCTCCTCTCTACAGATTTCTTCAGGCTTGTGAGCTACGTGTGCCTAGGGATCTTTTTAGGAATTGTTGGTTTCATTATCAGAAATAAATAGCAGGGAGGAGGAAAGGGGTGCAAGAGGGTAGCGAAAACTAGATTTGTCAAGAATTGTTGGTCAAATCAAGGAATTCGCAGGCTGAGTACAAATTATTGTACATACATGTGTGCTAATGTCAACCAAGCAATTCAATTCAATTCAATTCAATTCAATTCAGCCGCTGATCGTGAAGGCCTGGCATAAATATGAGGGATTCCCCCCTCCCCCCGCAACTTAAGGCTTACTTGACTTTTTGTATTGTTTTTGAAAGCCCTTCAGTGCCGCCCTCCAGAAACTGATGTCCCCAAACCAAGTGCCCCCAACCCTTGCAAAGTGGACCCCAGTACTGTGGCACTACTGAATCTGTATCTGAATTACACTGCTACAGCTGACAATAACAAACTTGTCTATGAGATCTACTTTTACAGGGAGTTGCAAGCCACTCAGCCACTTCCACAAGCCACTCAGCCACTTCCACAAGCCACTCAGCCACTTCCACAAGCCTATACATATGCGCAAGCCATATCCTCGTGTAATAATGGGACAAAGTCCGATTCGGCTTGTGGCTGCAGCGTGGCCTTCAGTCCCTGCCAGTAGGGAGTGGATAAAACCATGTACTTCCATAGGCCGGCCGTACTTGCCAAATGTATAATAATGGCATCACGCAATCTTTTTGGCTCGAGGCTGCGTGGCCTTCATCACTCCCAGCAAATAGCCGTGCACTTGACTCGCTCTGACTGCTAATGCATCCAGCCTCAACCTTGATCTGCATGGCAAGGCCATTAAGACTGATGCGGACTGTCATTTCTGAGCTAATACTCCCCGCTCCAAAATTAGCCCAGGATCGATTTTCACCCCAGCAGGTTTTCAAACTTAGCGTGTTATTGCAGCATGCAGTCATGATGCAGTTTTCCCAGAATCTAGGCAGTCATGCTCATAATGTGTACAACCATAGTGAGAAAAATGACTAGACAATTATGTTTTTCAAAATGTGTTTGATTGGCTTAGGCCTACATAACAAAACAAAGGTTTGCTGGAAGGTGGGGGGGGGGGGGGGCAACAAGGCCTTGGCACTCCCCCCCCCACCTCCAACAAGTGTATTTTTTTAGCAATCAAACCAGAAGATGAGTGGCGACAGCTTTTTTTTAAATTTAAAATCAATGCTACTCTTCTCCTTTCCCTTCCATGGATTTGTGAAATAAGAAAAAGGGTAAAAGAGCACTCTGGAATCAAATCGCCCCCTCCCCCAAATGTGCAATGGCTTGCTGGCTGGTGATCTCCCCCCCCCCCCCTCCTGAAAAATAAAAATGGTACTGGCTCTTCCCACGTTTACACTTAAAACAATCATTTTCACACATAAATAAACCCTTTTTTCAATAGCTGCTGAAAAAAAAACTTAAAACTTTAATGTTGAGTGGCTCAGAGTGAAATGGGAGGAATATTATTGCAAGGTAAAATCTGGACTTTTCCATTTCACAAGGCGAAAATGGAAAAGTCCAGCAATAATATTCCTCCCATTTCACAATTTAAAGCCACTCAATATTTCTTTTGTATAACTGACCTGGTAGATCCTTGTCATTTGACATATTTGAACTTTTATTTCAATTCAAAATTGGTGGAAAATGTATTTCTCTCTTTCAACCACCCCTTCACCAAAAAAGTTTGAACCCAATGCTGTAGCGCTTGCTCTTTTGAACAATACGCGCTACGCGCAACGCTGGACGCGCACACCAGCATGCATTTGCACACAAAAATACCGCATCATGGAACAAGAATGATCTTAAC